GTTGATCTCCCCCTCTTTCTTGACACACAGGATTTTAAGGTTGTCCCTCTCTTTTGAGACTTTCTTAAGCTCAGCTTTGCATCGGGCAAGCTCAGTACGAGATTTGGCGAATGCTCGTCGGTGAAGCGACATGGCCTTTTCACAAGGAAAGGAGGTCAGAACCAGAAAGATGAAGATTAAGCTCGAAATAATAAAAGACAAAACTTACTTGTTTGAGGAGCTTTTCAACTTCCTTAAGAATAAACAAGGAATTAGGATCGGGACCCTCTTCGATTCCCGCACGACACTCCCGAAAAATATCGTTCTCTTTGTGAACCATTGCCACATCAAGAGTATCCATATCCTGGGCATCCCGGAGTTGCCCTTCAGAAAACATCGGGCCCTGCGGCGAGTCATCTATGTTGATTACCCCAAGTGACTTACTTGGGGTATTATCCTGTCTTTGAACAGCCTCGGAGTTAGGCTCTTTGAACTCACTCGCCAAACGTCCCCCTGGACGAGGAGCACCTTTTCTGCCTGATGGATCGGGGACTTTGCTCAAGCTCCCCTCTAAAATTTCTTCGGCTCTAGATTGAACCGCCTCCATTGCTGTCGGATCATTAGTCTTCGAAGCATCAAGGCTTCCTCCTTCCTAAGCTACCAGAAGGTAGTAATCATCCTCTTCCTCTTCTTCCTGATCCCAAAGGCATTGAGTCGTTTCCAGAGATAAGGCCATAGTGTCAGCCTTGGGCTTTCGAACTTTGCTATTCTTTCGCCTCAGGGTATTTGCAGACGACACTCTCTTTCTCTTTATTTCTTTGGGAGGCTTTGAGATCTCTTCTTCACCAGGTGGGGGTGGTCGCATTCAAAAGCTTCCCCGAGACCTACATAAAAGATGAAGTAAGTATTGCATTAAGAAACACAAGTAAGAAAACAAGAAAGCTCACCATGCTTTTTTGCCTCCCATCGGCCCTTGGCTAAATCGTGCCAACAACGCTCCGCATATGAAGAAGTAGAGGCTAGTTGGCGGACCTAACCCTCGAGGTCCTGGACTGCTCCAAGAAACCAAGCAACAGTTGCACCATCGGAAAAGGATTATATTGATAAAAAGACAAAACGAGGAAAGTAAAAAGGGAAGCAAGGTATGAAGTTATTTACGTTTCATATTCCATTCCTGCGGGAATGGCATCCTCTCAGCAGGAATCAGGTCAGAGGTCCTGACTCGAACAAAATGGATCATCCACCATCGGTCTTTGTCCTCATTGATGCTAAAGAAAAGAGATTTCAAGGATCGGCGTTGCATTTTTATCAAACCACCTCGGTATAGTCAAGGTCTGTACAGCCTGATTAGGTGGTCGAGGGTGAAATGCACCCCTTCAACTTGGCTCGAGGAAAATCTGATCAGATGAACAATCCGCTAGAATGAAGGGTAGATCTGGCCAAGCATCACTTGGTATCGTTGGCAGAAGTTGAGAATAACTAGGTCTACAGGACCCTAAGCTGGATTTGCCGGGCCCAGTGTGAACGGGTAGGTGTACACGCTTAAGTACCCCGCTTTATGGGTAGTGATGTCCTCTTTCGAGGAAGGAATCACTACATCCTTGTCACCCCAGTTGCAATCCTTCTTTACTTGCACGAGATCGTCTTTGGTTATCAAACAGACATATCGAGACATGGGCTCCCATCGGTCTGGCGTCGATATAGGTTACTCAATCTTGAAATCACATGTTATTTCGCATGGTGGGGGAATGCACTCCTCAATACAAGGGGACACTGTTGGTTTGCCCTTGGTCGATCGAGAAGATGAAGAAGCATTTTCTTTTTGGGGAACCGATTTAGAGGTCTTGGCCATTATAATATGGAAATTCAAGAAAATGGAGAATGCTGATAGTGAAGAGAAGAAGGAATTCAGAGAAAGCAAAAGAGCTAATAAGACTTTGGGAATTATTTGAGAATAAAGTTTGCAAGATTGTGAAGTTTATCTATTTATAGAGGCCATTTAAGCGTGCTGAGGAAGCTGAAAAGCCAATCGTCAGTCGCTTCCAATCAATAACTTTGGGAATCGCACAAAAAGCAACCTTTTAGTTACTTTAGCCGCTGACATCACGAGATGGGCATTAGGATCGAGGCGTCAAAGATTAATTCATTTTTTATCGATATATTTCGAATTTGAGCAAAATGTTCACTCGACTACTAAGCCCAAGGGCTATCCGAGTTCGAGAAAATTCTCATTTGGGAACTATAAAAAGGCCTAAGGGCTAACTCTATTTCGAGTTCGGGCAAGTGCTTGCTCAACTACTAAGTCCAAGGGCTACCCGAGTTTGAGAAAATTCTCACTCGATGATTATCTACGAAGCCTAAAGACAAACTTTATTTCAAAGTCGAGACTTTGCTCTCACTAACTCTGACTCAGGAGTTCCGTTGTCCCGAGCTTGCAACAAATCGATCTAAGCTTAGCTCGAGGATTGACAAGAATATTAAGAGGTATTATATTGATCGATTAAAAACCTAAGGGTTTATTATATCCCGAGTCCGATATTTGGACTAGTCGCTAAAAGTTAAACAATCAGATTTTCCACAAGTAAAGACGGAATGAAATTCAACACGAGCCAATAGGGAGACAAAGGGATCTTTTATATTTACAAGAGATGGTTACAAAATATAACTACAACATCCGTGAGAGGTACTTACACAGGAACAAAGAAGCAAAAAACAAAAGCCAAGAACTTAATCTACTTTTAAGACCACGTCCTCGAGAGCGTCATCATCGGGAACCTCCTTCCCGAGGATCCCATTTTGATCTTTGAAAACGTTTGTGTGCCCAAAGAGATGTAGGGCAGAAAGCCCTCGATAAATGTAACTATGTCTCCAGCAGCGGGGGTTGAGCATTCCGTTAAGATATTGGGCCATAATCCGTTAAAAAGAACATCAAAAGAAAAAGACCAGAAGGGAAGACCAGAAGATGCAGTTTCACTTTCTAATACAAGAAAAACCAAAGGGTCGCGAGATGCACGAGCAACGATCCAAGAATGTTCTTCCTTGGGATATTGTTCCGGCATGGGATGTAAAAGTTAGTATATGATAGTGCCACCTCATTCCATGAAAAGCAAAAGGAATTAAGTGTCACACCAGATTGAAGTTAAGAGAGATGAGCAGCAATGTAAAGTTCGCGTATTTTCTGATACGGGAAGGATTCGACGCCCTTCTCTCGTTGTCTCGAATCGAAGCTTTGAAAAAGGGAGACTTGGCGTAACTGGTAAAATTGCTGCCATGTGACCTTGTGATCATAGGTTCGAACCATGGAAATAGATGATTAAAGAAGGAAGCAAATAAGGGAAAAGATCAAAAGTAGGTGAAGATGAAAAAAGTACAGTTCTTTGTTTAAAAGAGTGGCCTCCTATTTATAGAAAGGCGGTGACAGATCGACGACGTAAATGGTCGACCAACGCTGGAGCGCATTTGACGTTTTGGGGAAGCGTGCTGACATGACATTTCCGATCACTTCAAGCGCCTACGTCACGAGCTTGACGTCATTATAAGAGGTTTGAGAGTATCGAGGTTCGAATCGTTTCTTATCATCTTACTCTAAGAAATACGGGGACTATATGTATACGGTCAAAATCGTATGCCTCCGACTTAAAGGTTCGAGGGCCCATCCTGAGTCCGAGTTCGGGTAAGATCAAGTTCGAGCTTGAAAGCCCAGACCCGAGTTCGAAGGCGAAGTGCGATGCATACCGAGGTCAAGTGTGTTCGACCCCAAAATAGTACCGTTGTGGATTTGTACCAGTACGAGTTAGATTCCTGCCACGTCCCCAAAGTCATGGCACAAATCCCGAAATATGATTGTACTATTCTTTACTAGGCGGTTAGACAACTGTACCAAAAATATTTCTTACTGTAAATGGAAATATTCCTTATTTAGGGTTTCCCTATTATATAAAGGGTACCCCAATCATTTGTAAGATATCTTATCATCACTGAGAAAAGAATATAAGATTTGTTTTTTTACCTATTGTTCATCAGCATTGTCCTTTAGCTCCATTGTTCTTGCTTTATTTTTATTACTTAATTGTTCTTAGTGCTCTGAGCTACCTCGAGGTCACTGCTGTTTGATTCACTCCTATCTTTTATTTCTGTTTCATATTTCTTGATTACTAATTGGTATTGAACTAAATCACATATCTTTAAAACCACTAATCAAATTTAATTGTTACTTATATTTTCGAGGTAAACAAAGAAAGAAGGTAAAAGTGCCAAAAAAATGAGAGAAAAGATAAATATAATTGCTGAATATAAAAGGGTGCCACATCACCTTGCCAATGGCGCTCCTTTATATTTATATATAGATTTTATACTTCATACCAAACGCTATAAGATAATACTGATTTTTATACCATGATTGTATTCGCTTATACTTGTTATGACCAAACGTGTATTAATTAACAATTTTGAGATTAAATTTCATAAGGACAAAAAATGTCCTTTTAAAATACATAATTTATGTGTAATAATTTTTTTTATTAGCTACAGCGTATAAAGCAATCTTTGCATTATTAATCATCAAATAAATATACTCTACATTATTATTTCGCATAATTAACTAATATGTGAACCAAACGACTTCTTATTAATCGATTAAGAACTTCAAGCAAGTTGCAAACCACACCAAAGTACTTGCAGATACTTGGGAAAAATCGATTTAACTTCAAAATTATTTACACATATAGGACTGCCGCTGGCTACAGCTTCTCTTCTTCCATTGTTTTGTTAATTTATTTTGTTTCCAATATTCGGATAACACAGACGAACAAGCACATATTACCTAAGGTGGTGCGTTAGGTTGAAAATTCCAAAATCAGAACTCTCTTCAGTTCTCTAAAAGTCAGCGGTTGACTTCAAGAACAAGAAATACTAAGAAAAATTGATGGTGGATGTACTAAATTCACATATTTCATTTTCAAGAAAGCCATATAAACCAAGTCTATATCCCCCAAAAGAAACCACACGTTGAAAACATAGAATTGAGAGACATGAAATTTCAAGATAACCAACATTTCAGCCACCACCATATTTTAAAATCACTTGTTCTTAATGAAGGTGACGAACTTCAATGCCAAGCCTGTGAGCAGCCTATTTTCGAGCCATTTCATGGCTGCATCTCTTGCAATTTCTACCTCCATGAGAATTGTCTCAACGCGCCTCGTTCTCTGGTACACCCTTCTCATCCTTCTCACCCTTTAACTCTTCTTCCAACACCAACTTATTCTAGCCGATCTTTTACCTGTAATGCCTGTGGATCTGAAGGAAAATCATGTAGCCTAAGTTGTGCTCATTGTGACTTTGATTTGCACTTGAAATGTGCTCTTTTGCCTCAAACTGTCTTATTTGACCAACACCATCATGAACTTAAACTTACATTTGGTTCCCCTTTTGATGATGAGGATGAAAACACCATTTTTGTTTGTGATCTCTGTCATGGAAAGACGGATCATAATTACTGGTTGTATTATTGTGCTGGTTGTGATTTTGGAACACATATTGAATGTTATGTCAACAAACCGAAAGAAAATCCTGTAATCAAGAAAGCAATCATTGAACCAGTCATTAGTACACCAACAAGAAGTCCAATAAAAAAAACAGAGAAAAAATCAACCAAGAATCCTATAAAAAGCCCCAAAATGAAGCCACTATCTCCGGACGAGAAACCAAAAGAAAATGAAGGAGAAGAAAAGGCAGTGATCATGAAATCAAAGGAAGAACCAGTCAAGAAAGCAATCAATGAACCAGTCATTGCTGCACCACCTAAAATTGCAGTAAGGAAAACAAAGAAAATATCAGCCAAGAGTCCTAGAGAAAATCCCAACATGAGGCCAGTAGCTGAATCATTGGACGAGGAACCAGCAGAAACTTCAGCAGATAAACCAAAAGAACATGAAGAAGGAGAAGAAAATGCAGTGATCATGAAACCAAAGGAAGAACCAATCAAGAAAGCAGTCAATATTGATCCGGTCATTAGTGCACCAATAAAAGGTTCATCAGTTAGGACAACAAAGAAAAAATCAGCCAAGAATCCTAGAGAAAATCCCAAAATGAAGCCAGTATCTGAATCACCACCAGACGAGAATTCATCAGTCGAAACGGAAGAAAATGAAGAAGGTGAAGGAGAAGGAGAAGAAGAGGAGTCAGAATTATCATATTATGAAGCTCAGCGCAGATTGAAAGAACAACATATGAAACACATGCTCATGATGCAAGCTCTGGACAATGCTGCAAGCTACGTTGGGCCATCACGCGGTTATAATTACTATTATTGACCTTTCATTCAACTTCATCACAGTGACGAAGATGAAAGTTCAGTAATCTTGCACATTCAGGATTTGCCACAGAGTAATATGTTGAGTTCCAGATGCTATGATCTGTTGGAACACATTGATTTGATTGAAGTATTTCTAGATTTCCCTGCGTTTCAATATTGGTATTACATGTTTTTTTGAAGTACTAATTTCTATATTTGAATGGTGTTATATGTATATGTTTGTTATCATTCACTGCATTTCCTTTATTGCTGTTAGCTATTTAACACAATCTGTGCTGTCATCTTTTTCAATTTCTTGACAGTAATAATTCTGGACGTTAGCAAAATGACAGGAGAGACATCAAATCCAAAGATGTCATCTTTTTGCTTTTCTCTATTCTTATTTAACACCTTATAATATGGTTACTTCTTCTAAATCATGCCGTTGGAAAATTTGACCACTCTCTTCCTCCAAAGAAAAAAGAAAAATAAAACAAGTTCTGCTAAGTGCTAATACATGGAGAGCACAAAACGTACAAATTTAATCTCTCAATAAAGTTTGTAAATTATGATTATCCGATGCATAGCACAATTGTTTATACATTGAGGGGAACGTTGAAGCTTCAAAGTTTTTCATACATTTGTTGTTGAACCTGGATTATCAAGACTGGTACTTGCAGTTAAACTAGGCATGTAACTAACCAAAAAATTAAGCTTAATGAAATTGATAATCCAGAAGTTTTATTAGTCAGATCAAAGGATTACTACCACAACTACTTCTACACATCAAAAGTTAACAAGAGAAGCGACATTAACATCCTAAGATCTACACTCTTACCAACCTAGAAACAACAAAACTATACAAAAGCCAGAAGAAAACAGTCCATAACAATTTATCTTCTTCTGCTTCAATGGCCACCTCAATCTACTACACTTTTCTTCTTCTTCTTTTTTTGTTTTTATGATGGTGGTGTTCGGAGCAGCTTGCGGGCACCTCAATCTCCTACACTTCTCTCAGAACCCGCTTCATTATCCGACCCGTTTCCATTTTCATCTTCACCACCTTCTAAATACCGAACCTTTTTCCTCAATTCCTCCAACTCCCTCTCCATTACATACATTTTCTCTTTCAACTCCGTGTTTTCTTCCTCCAATCTCTCAATATGTTCTTCCACGTCATCAACTCTGTAACCAAACCCAAATGCATCACGACCCGACCCGCTATTTCTCGGGTCATATATCATCTCAAAACGGCTCAAATCATGGCTTAATCTCTTCTCCACTTCCTCAACATCACTGTCCCACGAAACAATAACCCCTTCTCCTTCATCCTCTTCTTCATGTTCATTCTCCGGTGATCTGACCCGGATTAACCCGTTCATCGACCCGTACCCGTCTACACCCCACTCTTCCTTCGCCACGTCAGCTAAAACTTCCCTCGCCGGAGAAAACTTCGGCGTCGGTAGAACAGACGGAGTCACCGGACATGGGGAAACCAAAGAGGCGATTCCACCGGATTTTTTTGCACGGATAAGAAACGACGTCGTGTTGTGCGGAGTGAAAGGCGTAAAACGGTGATTTTGACTCTGTTTCTTCTTATGAAAAAACCGGCGCGGTTTGTTGTTCGGCCGGTGGGTTTTCCAATTACTCCGGTTTACGTTCCCTGGAGTATAACTAGGTCCTTGTGAAAAAACCGGCGCGGTTTGATTTTCGGGTCTCATTGTGGGACGTGGGGGTGGCCAAGGGTGGTAACTCCGGTTCAGCAGCTGAGACTGATTCATGATCGTTGACCAGTCGGCTGGTGAATTTCCGCACCCAGAAAATTATACCAAAATTTGAAGTGAAAAAAACCCGTAAACTTTAGTAGGAAAATCTTGTGGGAGATGGATTCATGTTTTATGTGAAGTGGAAATGGGGTTATGTGGAAAAGAAGAAGGAGAGGCACGTGGAAATCACGTGGATGACGCTAAAGCTTGAGATAAAATATGGAAGAATGCGTATCAGCTGGGGCCAAGTGTAACTATGATATATACTCCCATTACCCACTTTTTTTGGGTAACTATGCGCGTACCACCCTATATCATGAGTATACAAGTTTAAAAAAATTAAGTAACTATATTAAATAATTTGTTTGAGTTATTGAATAAAATTGTTAAAAAAGATCTCAGCTCCTAAATATATAAATATTGATCCAATTTAGATAGTTCAACAAATAAAGAAATTTTGTCTTACATATGCATTATTGTAATTTCTTGAGACATATGTGGATATTTTATGAAAATTATTGCTATTTTGTTACCTAATCAACTTTGCTCTATTTTATTTATTTCTTTCATTGTCAATGCTTTTCTTGTGGAAATAAATTGATGTACCATAAGAGTTTTATTAATTTTAAAAATAATTTTGCTTATATGACAATTTTTAATAAAGAATTAGATTGAATTATTTTGCTAATTACTATTCTCTTTCTAGTTTATGTGGATCTTTTCGCTTTTCAAGAATTAATTTGACTAATTTTTGAAGCTAAATTGAATTAGATTAACTCGATATTTTAAAGTTAATATTTGGATATTCAAAAATAATATGAAAAATGCTATAAATTGTATTTTTTTCTCGTGTCAATATGCTGAAAAATTTATTTTAGAATTTTGGTCAAAGTTTATATAGCTTGAAGCTTGAAAAACTAAAAAGTTTTACATAAACTGAAACCGAGGGAGTAGTTGATCAAAGACTTAATTATTTGTTCTCAATGTTAAAAAAATTTAAAAATAATTGCATTGCGGCTTCGTACTTTTATAATAATATAAAAAAATATGGATAATTCTTAAACTCCTTTCCTAGTCGGGTAATATTTTTCTATTTATTATTTTTTTGTATAATATTCGAAATCTACATTCACTAATTTTAAAAAAAAAAAATACTTAATTGAATATAAACCTCTACTTTATAGCAATAATGATATACAAAAGCTTCCCCTTAGAATTCTAAATGCCCTATAAGAAGAATAAATGTCAAACATTTCATTGAAATTATAGTAAGCAAACATAAGGGGGGAAAACGCAAAAATCATATTTACCGAAAACGATAATTTTTTTAATGTCCTAATATTAAGACTTTTTATATAATTCAAATAAGGAAAGATTTAATAACCAAGATTTAAGCTAATTTCAAAGTCTTAAATATTAGAAAAATAACTAAATTACGATTTTGTCTAATACAAAGTCTATTTTTAAAGGGTAAAAAAGGCAAACGATATTTTACTAAGACATTCGTGCTTTTAATATAGTAATAGAGTATAGATATGCAAACTCATTTCTCTCATTTGAATTGACAATATTGTAATTATAATTGAATTTATCATTCAAAGTAGAAGAATATATACCTTGATATTTTGATGATTCCTTAATTCAAAACAAGATTGTCAAAATCGGTATAACTTTGTTCGTTCATATACATTATTCAGTTGTTATTAGATCATGATAAGTAGGAATTTGAAATTAAATTTTTGAGTTTTCTTCTTTGGACAAGAATTAAAATAAGGAGTTATAGTTATTTTACACAATTCAAGTAAAAAAATAATTAATATAAATTAAAATATTATTCAATTTTGAATTCTAAATATTAAGAGTTCCTATTATAGCAAAACTTTACTTAATTTTTAAATTTTAAATAAAATAATTAATGATAATGGTATCTAATATAAAAGATGATGTATGTGTTATCCGTTATTATTAATTAAAGTACTTATAAGTATAAAAATGTATAATTCACCTTAAACACTTTGCCTACTTGTGAAAAAATAGACTTTACGCTACTCACATGGTCGAAAAAAGAAATGGACAAAGAATTGGTATTTGAAACATGCTTAATGATTCTTAGGTGTATAATTCTACAAAATTAGACCGAGACAAAAAAATTCATTACAATTCCTATTGTGTAAAAACTTGGAAACATGGAAGGGTTATATGTAAGGAAAATAGTTACACTAAATATAGAAAAATTATCCAAGTAAAATCTAACTCAATTTCAGATTCCTAAATATTAGTTTTACATAGTTCTGTAGACAATAAATTTGGATCGAGAAAATAAAATCAAGACCGAAAAAATATCGCAACAATCGTAGTATTTTATTACGAATATTTGAGTGTTACAATCTCTATGAATCCTCTGATTCTACTTTTCTATAGTAAATAAATACAAGGGCCTTTGAGCTTGATCTTGAATATGTATTTGTTGCCTCGAACGATGATCTTGTTCTTGAGCTTGAACTTGATTACTTGAACTTGACCTTGATTTGTTCTTCGCTCTTGAACTTGCACTTGATTTTTTGAACTTGAACTTGAAGGCTGAAACTTGTGGAGGAATTTGCAGCGTTTGATCCACGAGCTCTTTCTTGCTTCTTGTTATAACTTCTGGTCCCTTCTTTGAGTTATGAAGACCCCTATTTATAGTTGTGGAAGGGAGGAGTTGTGATAAGAACAAACTATTTCCGACCAATCAAATTAAATTGTGACATGGCCGCATTTGATTGGCCAGAACATATCACTTGCACACGTGGCGCGATTTCATTGGCCTTTTAGCGTGACTGGATATGCCTTGTCATTTTGACACATGGCATGGTCCTATTGGCTCTTCCGCTTGACTTGGCGCGCCACGTCATTTGACACGTTGCATCAAACTGGGCCTCTAGGAAGATGACATCTTGGGCTTAATGAAGTGGGCTCATCGCTTTAGCCCAATTAAATGGGCTAGCCCAATGGATTAAAACTTATTTATGTAATCCATATATATTGGACTTATATAATTAATTCAATTATATTAGCCCATATATTTATTTGGACCAATATATCTTGAATTTAAAATATAGTCCAAATTATTTATGAATTTAATTTTAATAAAATTTATATGCTTACAAATGCCCCCTACTTCAAGGCTTATCATAGCGTAGACTGATCGAGACTCAAGGATTAGACTTGAAGTACACGTAATATATATATATAATATATATATATTACTTGAAATCTATCCCGAAATAGAATCCTCACTTTCCTTGAATTAGGAAAAGTATTAACATGTTACTTGGATTGTATGAATATATGTAATGACCAACCATCAGTTACATTGGATATTAATGAAACTCTTTTTGCTCTTTGCAACAAAGAGACTTTCTATTTTTTTTTATTCAACATAAAAATTCTTTACGTGGCCATCTTGA